TTCCCTCTCTTTCTCTCTCTCTCCCTTCCCCTTTTCCCATCTCCACTGTTCTTTTTTCCCTATGTGTGACCAGACTCAGACGCAGTTGGAGCATGCCCGAATACGGGAGCTCGAGCAGAGCCTGCTGTTTGAGAAGGCACAGGCTGAGAAACTCCTCAGAGAATTAGAGGACACCAGGGTAATCGACCCCCACTTGCCCTGCCTGCAGAACGGCGCGCTTGCCCCCTGCGTTGATGCTCGTGACGCCTCGCTTTGGGTTTCTTTTTTTATTTGGTTTGTGGGGTTGATTGGTTTTTGGCTTGGATTTAGGCTTCCCTGTGGTTTTTTGTTTGGTTTTTTTCTTTGCTCTCTCTCTCTCTCTCTCCTGGAAATGGTAGTATGATATAATTTTTAGCTTTGCTTCTTGTGTGGGGACTTGTTTCTCAGATTGAGTTTGCTTCTCTGCCCCATGCCACCATTTGACACATGAACTCTTCACAATTCATCTTTCAATTAACATGCCCAAATAATATCTGCACCCTGCTGCACAATTCATTCCGCCTCGAGGCTCCCCCGGGCTGTAACAGAAAATAACATTGCAATCAGCATTCCCTTTGTCCTCCCTCCAGCTGTGGGAGCTGCCATGTGAAATGGAAGATACTGGTGAGTGCAGGCGGACCAGCTCCGATCCATGGCCATGCCTGCAACAGGACAGGCTGCCCAGATGAACAACGCACCCAAACCTAAAAGCAGCCAGATGTGGAAAGGGCTTTTTCATGCTGGTGTGATGTGGGAAGCGGCTAACTTGCCCGCAGCGAGCTTGCTCCTCACCAGTGGATTTGTTAGAGCTGTAGAAAACACAAACGTGAGGTTCTCCAAAAGGGCTGAGTGGTTTGAATGCCTCCTTGCCCATCTAAAAGAAATCCACCCAGCCTCCGGGGCTGATGGTTAGTGGGGAGTATGGCAATTGAAACGAAATGCAATTGGTCGCTTGTGTTTTGGCTTGGTTTCCTGTTTCTTCTGCCTTTTTCTAATGTTTCATCTAGTCAGATCTCCTCTTCTCCATCCATAGCTGCAGCACCCTGAACTCCCTGTGACGAGCAGGCAGTTCAGCCCTGTTAGGTTACGTTCAGGTCGTAAGACATCGATCCATAGCCCTTATGCTCAATGTTAACCATGGCCAGATTTATTGTCTTGCATCCTCTAGCCTTCTACGTTATTTTTACTTTGCTAATAAACTCTAACAATTACTCATGTGTAAGAAATCCCTTTTCCTTTTTACACCAGGGTAAACGAATTACGATGCAGAGGAGAGGTCTGTAGGCTGAGGATTGCTGAGCAATACAGGAAACATGATATGCTTAATGCTGGTTTCAATGCTTGTGATATTCCTGCATGTGCAGTCACATTTCCTCTGTGCATCACCTGGCAAGATGCCTAGTCTGGAAATATAATGCCCTTTCAGGACATTATTTTTCATAAACCACTGTTGCTCTCTAGCGAATTTCAAGGGTTGTTTCAAAGATGTGTGTTTCTCTGTGGAAAACGAGAGGTTCCTATTAAGAAGAAAACAAATTGCAATTGGCACAAAGACATAACTGTTAAGAGTTATTGGTGATGGTTACCCTGGTGCAAAACTGTACTCGGATCGGAGGGTGCTGGGTATTCGTTTCCTGTTTATTTGAACTTTGACTAATTTACTTTGGATTTACTTCCACTGGAGCACACTTACTTTTGGAGCACACTTGCCTTTTAAGGCAGGATGCAGCGATGGGAGGTGGGGACTGACTTTGTCTTCTCTGTCGTGTTGCAGTTAACCACGGTAGCAGAGAAGTCCAGAATCCTGCAGCTGGAGGAGGAGCTGAGCCTGAGGCGCAGCGAGGTGGATGAGCTTCGGCAGTGCCTCAGGAGCTCTCACCAGGCAGAGACCCCTGAGCACAACCTTGGCTTGCAGTCAGAGGCTCTTCGTCTACGAGATCAACTGCTATCTGCCAACAAGGAGCATCAGAAGGAGAGCAGCCAGCTAAAGGAGAAGTACGAGAAGACATTAAAGAAGTACCAGCAGGAGATGGAGAAGCTGAAATCTGTCAAT